AAAAGAAGAAGAAGAAGAAGAAGAAGAAGAAGAAGAAGAATAAGAAGCATAAGAAGAAGAAGAAAGAAGAAGAAGAAAAGAAGAGAAGAAAAAGAAGAAGAAGAAGAAGAAGAAGAAGAAGAAGAATAAGAAGAAGAAGAAGAATAAGAAGAAGAGAAGAAGAAGAGAAAAGAAGAAGAAGAAGAAGAAGAAGAAGAAGAGAAGAAGAGAATAAGAAGAAGAAGAAGAAGAAGAAGAAGAAGAAGAAGAAGAGAGAAGAATAAAAAAGAAGAAAAGAAGAAGAAGAAGAAAAAAGAATAAGAGAAGAAAGAAGAAGAGAAGAAGAATAAGAAGAATAAGAAGAAGAAGAAGAATAATAAAGAATACAAAATAAGAAGAAGAAAAAAGAAGAATAAGAAGAAAATAATATAACGAATAAGAAGAATCATAATAAGAAAAGAAGAATAATAAGAAGAATAATAATAATAAGAATAAGAATAATAAGAAATAGAATAAGATAAGAATAATAATAATAAGAAGAAGAAAAATAAGAAGAAAAGAATAAGAATAATCATAATAATAATAATAATAATAATAAGAATAATAATAAGAATAATAAAGAATAAATAATAATAATAGAATAATAAAATAATAATCATAATAAATAAGAAGAATAATAATATAATAATAATTAATATAATAATAATAATAATAATAATAATAAAATAATAATAATAATAATAATATAAAATATAATAATAATAATAATAATAATACTAATAATAATAATAATAATAATAATAATAATCATATAATAATAATAATAATAATAATATAATAATAATATACTAATAATAATAATAATAATAATAATAATAATAATATAATAATAATAATATAATAATAATAATAATAATAATAATAATAATAATAATAATAATAATAATAATAATAATAATAATAATAATAATAATACCCGCGTGGAGTTGCTAGTCTCCCATCGGGCGCCTCCCTGTGCGAATTGGGAAACGCTCTCCAGATATGGAGGGTACCGGGGAAATTAAATACCTGGGGTGGACAAAAACTAGCATTACCGCTCTATGGGTTAGCACCCCGTAGAACGTGATTCTAACCGCTGTAAAGACGAGAAGGAATACAGTTTTGGGCGTGGCAGAGAATCAGGCTGACTCTGTTCGGAAGCGTCAGGAGGCTATGCCTGTCTTGGGATCCAGTGAAGTAGGTGGCACTGACCCGAGGATTGGACCTACCACCACACAGGCGATGGAAATGGAACAACGATTACATCGAAGCTCTGAAAGTGTTGCCGAGCAAATTGCTCGTCCCACTCAAGAGGATAATAGTCGTAGGAAACGGATGAAATGGAGTGATGAAATGAATGAATACCTCTACCGTACCTACCTCAAAATCACCAAAATGGAAACATCAAAGGACCCCTATAGCGTCGAACTCTACCAAACCATGATTGGAAGGTTTCCTGATCTAGCAAGTAAAACACGTCAGAACATATTGGACCAACGACGACATCTCTTTACGACGAACAGGATATCGATAGATAAAGTGAACCGGATACGAAGAGAAGTGGAGATGGAACTCGGAATAGGACAGGCTGAACCATCACGCGAGCTAGAGGATACAGCAAATACCAGCAGTGAAAGCACAAATATAAGGCAGATAGAAACTGAAGAGAAAACATGTTTTGAAAGGAATTTAATACTGTTCAAAGGCATAGATCCTTTTCTGAGACCAAGACTGCCTCGGTTGAGGACAAATAAGAATACTGTTCATATCTTGAATAGAGTAAATCATCTCATGACGACCAAGTTGTGTGACATAACCGGTATAACTGATTATCATGACCTAATCTATGCCGGCGCTTATACTGTGATTGAACTGCACCATCAAAAGATAAAGCAATCATACAAGCATACTGAACAAAAACCCAGATGGCAGATGAGGATCGAAGGGAAAATAAAAGATCTACGAGCAGCTATAGGCCCCCTTGTTCAGTACATCAAGTCAGATGCCCCGTCCAACCGGTTGCGAAATAAAGTCACAACAATAACCCAGAGACATCATGATGAGGATAATCAAAATCCGATACAGATCCTCGATAAGCTCCAACAAAGGTTGTCTGTATACGCAAATCGCCTAAAGCGATATAAAGAGTCGCATCAAAGAAAACTACAAAATAGCATATTTCGAACGAATCAAAAGAGGTTCTATCGCTCACTGGAAAACGAAGATGTAAGTACTACGGGTAAAACTCCAGAAGCTAGAGATGCATTAACATATTGGGCTGACCTATGGGAGAACCCTAAGACTCATAATAATAAAACAAGTTGGCTCGCGGACGAAAAGAGGAAAACCGAAAAAATACCCATGATGCACTACAACGTCATAACTGTGGAGGATGTTAAAAGATCTATAAACAACACGCAGAACTGGAAGGCGCCTGGACCTGATGGCATCCATAACTATTGGCTCAAAAAGTTCACTTGCACACACGAAACGTTAGCGATGATTTGCACAAGCCTCTTGCAAGATCCAGAATCCATTCCAGCATTTCTGACAACGGGAAACACCTACTTGCTTCCTAAAACATTCCCTTCTGTGAGCGACCCATCAAAATACAGGCCAATTACGTGTCTTCCAACCATATATAAAATAATTACTTCAATTTTATGCGATCAAATTTACCAGCACCTTGAAAGGCATCATCTGCTCCCAGAAGAACAGAAAGGCTGCAAAAAGGGAAGTCGTGGCTGCAAAGAGCAACTTACAATAGATACAATCATCACGGAGGAAGCAAAGGGCTGTAAGAAAGATCTGTATGTTGCATACATTGACTATAAAAAGGCCTTTGACAGTGTTCCTCACTCTCTGTTAATTGAAATGCTCCAAATATATAAAATCAGCCCTAGTATAGTGAGATTGCTGCAAAACCTTATGCCTCAATGGAAAACTAATCTTGTAATAACCCATAAAGAAGAAAATATCAACATCGGTGCCATCAGCATTAAAAGAGGTATCTTCCAGGGAGATGCACTAAGTGCTTTATGGTACTGTATTGTATTAGCACCTCTATCTAGAATGCTGCACAAGAAGAACGAAGGTTATAAGCTTCAGAACAACCTACAAATAAGCCATCTAGCTTACATGGATGACATCAAACTAATATCTGCCACTAAGGATGGACTGGACAGGTTGCTTAAAACCATAAACAAATACAGTGCTGACACAAGAATGGAGTTTGGCCTGGACAAGTGTAAGATTGGGGCTATTAGAAAAGGCATATGGGAAGATCACCCAGGGTTTATGTTGGAGCAGGGTCAGACAATAAGAAGCATGTCTGAGAAAGAGAGCTATACATATTTGGGACTAGATCAAGCAAGGGGTATCAAACACAAAGATATGAAAGAAGCTCTAAAGCAAAGATTAACGAGTAGGGTCAAATCAATACTTAAGACTCATCTATCCGCAATACACAAAGTAAGGGCCATTAACACATATGCTATTCCGACAATAACATATAGCTTCGGAATAATCAAGTGGACAGACTCTGACTTAGAGCAGCTAAACAGAAACATAAGAGTCTTATTTACAAATCATAGAGCAAGACATCCCAAGAGCTCGATCGAAAGATTCTACTTGCCAAGATCCAAAGGGGGACGAGGCGTGATTGACCTTAAAGCAGCTAACCTGCGGAATATAGAAAACCTCAGGAGATTCTTTTATAGAAAGGGCGAAACATCTGCATATCACAGAAATATAGCTTCAGCTGACTACAAGTTCACACCACTGAACCTGTCGGATGAACAGTATGAACCTCTAACCCATGTGACCACCGACGAACAATGGTATCATCAATGGAAGTCCAAACAGCTTCATGGAAGACATCCAGCCATGCTCAGCTCAGATCACATTGATGCAGAAGCGTCACATGGATGGCTGAAGAGTGGGGAGCTATTTTCGGAAACTGAAGGTTTCATGATTGGCATTCAAGATCAGGTGATACCAACCTTAAACTATAGAAAATACATCATGAAAGAAGAAGGCATTGAAGATAGATGTCGTATATGCCATAACAAGTCGGAAACAATAGAGCATATCCTGACGAGCTGCACTCCCCTAGCTTCCACTGAGTACCTGAAGCGCCACGACAACGTGGCTAAAATAGTTCACCAAGAAATTTGTTATGCTGCGAACATACTAACTGACCGCACCCCATATTACAAGTACCAGCCGACTCCAGTTATAGAAACTAACAGCCATAAAATATACTGGAATAGAACAATTCAAACAGATCACACCATGGAATACAACAAACCAGATATCGTAGTTCAAGATAAAATGAAGCAAGTTACCTGCATAATTGACATTAGTGTGCCTGCCCCACATAACATAGCTGAGAAGCAGACAGAAAAGGTTCGCAAGTACTTACCACTAGCTGCAGAAGTAAAAACACTGTGGAATCAAGAAAAAGTTGAAGTCATTCCAATAGTGATCGGAGCCACAGGAGAAATACCTAAGAGTCTACATAAATATATTGAGAAACTAAATCTGCCGCAGAAGCTATACCTCTCACTTCAGAAAGCTGCTATCTTAGGTAGTTGTCATATAGCACGCAAGGTCCTGAATGTAGCCACATAGACAAAGAGAAACCAATAGTCACACTCAGACGCTTGCAGTATAATGCCGCGTTTGAGGATACCACCTGCAGTAGCAGAGAATAGCTAACAGAAAACGGAATAATAATAATAATAATAATAATAATAATAATAATAATAATGTCTGGCCGGTTAGGACACTGTTGCCAGCAGTGTCAAACCCGCTACCGTAGCAACAACAAGGATAGACGGTACAGCCAGCGATCCTCCAGTGTGTGCCAGGGGTTTTTGTGTCTCTTCCTCCTGGTGCAGGAAAACATATCATGTGCAGAATGTGTACATATCGGCTCCTAGATGGAGTCGTATAAAAAGAGCCACACCCATAATTTCTTTATGGAGATGAATTTTGAATATAGCCTCGGAAAAAGGTCGCTGCCTGAGGGTGATCGTCAGGGCATATCTGGAGCCGGCGCTGGATATGACAGCATGCGGGACGTCGGTGGCAGGGTGCTGAGGAGGCGGGCCCCTGTCGTCCAAGAAGCAACAGCCCCCCAACAAAGTGGTAGCCAAACAACAACTAGTGCCACCGCTGCCGAAAGTGCTGCACAGGAATCTCAGCCAGTGCTCACTCAAGCAGGTCTCCCTAGAAGACGTATAAAGTGGACGGTGTCCATGAATGAGTCAATCATGCGAATCTTCTACAAAGTTACCAACCTAGGTAGAGAAACAATCGGCTACAGACCACGACTTCATACCGCTTTCTGTAGTGAATATCCGGAGATCAAAGTATCTCAGCAGAGAGTGGCAGACCAATATCGAGTGATAATCAAAAATAATCTTATCCCACAACCACGGCTGAATGCCATCAAACAGGAAGTGCAGCTTGATCTTATGCAACAAGAAGGGAGTAATAACGAAATACGCGATAATGGTCAATCTGAGCAAGAACAGATAGAAAGTGAACAGCCTGGAGTTGACGACAGTAATGATCAAGACACAGAAATATTTGGTATATTAATAACTGAAATGGGTAGAGCATATGCCGAATTTGATGGAACGAACCCGCTAGAAAGACCACCATTACCAAAGTTGAAGTCATCTAGAAAGCTTGCTGTGGTATTGTGTCAGTTAAATAAACAGATCCTGCCAGAGTATCTAGCACACTCCAACTGTATAGAACAACTTCACACACTGATATACTGTGCAGCTGTTGCAACAGTAAGAACACTTGGTGTCAAAATGCCAACTCAAAAGATTACTGAAAATTCAGTAAAACCAATAACACCAAAATGGGAAAAACGTCTGGAAAGAAGAACGGCAGAAATTCGCAGAGATATCGGACGTCTTACCCAATTCACACGAGGAATAACAACTCGAAAAGTCCGAAAGCAAGCTATGGAAATAATGCAACGACTCCACCATCATTCTCACCAAGACGCAACTAACATCAACGAGTGGCAATGCCTTGATACCTTGAAGCAAAAACTGTCCGTATATACTCAGCGATTGAAAAGGTATAAAGCGTCCAGTCACAGAAAGCACGACAATGCGCTCTTTCAACGATCCGAAAAGGCATTCTACAGGAAACTGTCATCCGAACCCCAGGAAAAGAGCAAAACGGTGCCCACAAAGGACCAAGTAGAGGAATTTTGGGGCAAGCAGTTTGGCTCGACAGCTTATTACAACAAGTGTGCAGGATGGATTACAGATGAAGAAGCGAAGAGCCATTATTGCAATCCCATGCAGTATAGGGCATATACCAAACAAGAAATCGTGGATATCGTTAAGCAGTTGCATAATTGGAAGGCCCCGGGCCCAGACCAGATTCATGGCTACTGGATAAAGAAGCTTTGGTGCATGCATGAACAACTAACAAGATATATCAATGACATGCTTTTGAATCCAAATAAGACTCCAACGTTCCTAACACAAGGGCTAACGGTATTAATACCAAAAGATCACAATAATACAGAAGACCCAGCAAAATACCGCCCAATTACCTGCCTTCCTACGCTATACAAGGTGGTCACTGCTTGTATATCGAAGCGAATTTATGCTCATTGTGAAGAAAACGATATTATTGCGCCACAACAAAAAGGCTGTGCTAAGGGAGCTATGGGATGCAAAGAACAGCTGGCTATCGACTCAGTCATCTGTAACCAAGCCTATAACAACAAAAGGAACCTATACATTACGTACATCGACTATCAGAAGGCATACGATTCTGTACCTCATGAGTGGCTTGTCAGGGTGCTGAGGCTCTATAAGGTAGATGAGCATGTAGTGGCCCTATTAGAACATATGCTGAAGACCTGGAGAACCAGAATAACACTGCATACAAACGGGACCAGCACCATTCAAACTGAGACGATCTCTATCCGAAGAGGTCTCTTTCAGGGTGATTCATTAAGTCCCCTATGGTTTTGCCTAGCTATAAATCCCCTCTCAAACCTCTTAAATGCAACAGGGTATGGATATAGTCTGAAAGATAACAGGAACGCATCCATAAAACTGAACCACTTGCTGTATATGGACGACCTAAAGGTAATAGCTGCTACTGAGAATCAAATGAAACAGCTGCTAGAGATAGTCGGTCAGTTCTCAGATGACATAAGTATGCGATTTGGGATGGATAAATGCAAAACCTTATCTATACGTAGGGGGAACATCTACCCTGGAGGATTTTCAAGCTGCAGAGGCCAAAACATTGACGCAATGGACGCAAATGACACATACAAGTACCTTGGAATGGCGCAGGCCCGAAGGATAGACCATAAAAAAATGAAGGAAGCTATATCGCAGACCTTCACAAAAAGAATACGGCTACTTCTGAAAACAGAACTCAATAGTAAGAATCTAGTCAAGGCGATTAACACCTACGCATGCTCTGCCTTGAACTACTCGTTCGGTATAGTTCTGTGGAGTAAAACTGACATCGAGAAACTAGAGAGGCGGGTAAGGACTATGCTAACAAAAAAAGGAGCGCACCATCCTCGCAGTGCAATAGAGCGCACAACCTTACCCCGACAGTTAGGAGGAAGAGGTCTAATGGACATCAGCAAGCAGCTAGCTCAACAGGTACTCGCCTTGCGATCCTACTTCTTTGAGAAGGCCGAGATCTCTGAGCTGCATCGCATCATATGCTCAATAGATGACACAACGCCCTTACACCTTAATAGACGAGATGACCAACCGAGTCACCAAACCAACGAACAGAAGCTACAACGATGGATTGAAAAACCTCTACATGGGAGACATGCCAACGAGATTAGCCAAGAAAACGTTGACAAGAAAGCGTCAAACTATTGGCTTACCTCAGGCCAAATGTTCCCTGAGACTGAGGGATTCCTTGTAGCTATACAGGACCAGGTCATTCCTACCAACAATTACAAGAGGTTCATACTTAAGAACTTGCAACAGTCTGATAAATGCAGGTACGGCTGTCAGGACTCCGAAACAATACAGCACGTAACTGGTGGATGCCAAGCATTCGCTCCAACGGACTATAAGGAGCGCCACGACATAGCTGCCAAAATCATTCACCAGGAGTTGGCATACAAATTCAAACTGATCGAATGCAAGCTACAGTACTACAAATATACACCGCAATGTGTCCTCGAGAACGACAAGTATAAACTATACTGGGATCGCACTGTGCTTACGGACCAATACGTAAAACAAAACAGACCTGACATAATCATTGTCGACAAGGACGCCCAGAAAGTAACACTGATTGATGTGGCCATACCTAATAGTAACAATTTAACATACAAACATAATGAGAAAGTTGCAAAATACAGGGAGCTAGAATTTCAAATTAAACGCCAGTGGAAAATGAAGTACGTGGAAACAATACCAATAATAATGTCATCTACAGGGGTGATACCAAGAAGGCTGCTAGAAAACATCAAAGCGCTGGAACTGAGTGAAAACATTACAAAATCATACAGAAAGGAGTTTTGCTGGCAACTGCCCGCATAGTAAGAAAATTTATGGGAAATGCAAGTACCTAGGGAGGTCACTATTGAGGCTTACCCCTTTGATGCTTGAAGCGTCCGGGTTAAGCCAGAACACCCCGATTAACGGGAGTAACAAAGCCCTACGGCTATTTAAAAATAATAATAATAATAATAATAATAATAATAATAATAATAATAATAATAATAATAATAATAATAATAATAATAATAATAATAATAATAATAATAATAATAATATAATAATAATAATAATAATAATAATAATAATAATAATAATAATAATAATAATAATAATAATAATAATAATAATAATAATAATAATAATAATAATAATAATATAATAATAATAATAATAATAATAATATAATAATAATAATAATAATAATAATAATAATAATAATAATAATAACCTACTGAAAATGAAAAAATAAATACAGATGGTACCCAACTCGAGATAAGCTCTCAGCCTGGCCCATCTGGTATGGAAACAACATCGTTAGACTTAAATAAGAAACAAAGACAGAAATGGACGATTGAACAGTACAAAGATGTTATGCGCTGCTACTACTATGCCAAGAGTCACGAAAGAGGATCAACGACAGAAAACACATATAGATTATGGAGGAGAGAGAATCCAACATTATTCCCTCACATTAACTCGAAAACACTGGCTAACCAAACAAGGTACATAATCAACAGTAATAAGCTAAGTACTAGTGAGATTACAAGTATAAAGGAAAAAGTAAAATTAGCAATTGCTGTATCTGAAGCAGCAACCGATAGACCTATACCAACTCATGGGCTTCCACTACAAATAGATACTCACCATGAACAGCGCTCAAATACAACTAATACATACACACAGATCAACAATACTAGCCTATTATGTGCATTGTCAAACAGATCCAGAAATAGAGAAGAACTGGAAGACAAAATTTATGAAAAACTGAAAGAAATTAGAGGACTCACTTCAATTACACAACGAAAAGCGCTGAATAAGGTAGAAGCCACCAAGGCGCTTCAAGTAAAAATTGACAACGTGAACGTCATATACACCAGAATAGCTCAAGAGCATACTCTAAGTATTCAAGACATTAATGACCTGATGTACGCTGCTGCCGCTGTAATTGCAGGTGAAGTAGAACACAGAACAAACACTGTACGAGATACAAGAGAGCCGTCATGGAAGATCAGAATAAAGAAGCATATAGATGCATACAGATCGGAACTTGCAATATTACATGAATATAGGAAAGGAGTCCCCACTTATAACATTCTAAAGAAAACGGAACAAATATGGCAACGCTACAACTCGTACACCAACATAGATGAACTTGAGTTAAATATAAAAATGAAAATGGAAGCAAAATCACAAAGGTTAAAGCGATATACGGAACGAAGCAACTATTATTTTCACAATAAGACTTTCAACTCTGACGCAAAAAAATTCTTCAGACAAATTAATGGACAAAGGAATGTTAGCAATGAACCACCGACACCGGATGATATTGCTAGCTTTTGGAAAGGTATATACCAAAATAAAGCAAGCTTTAACAAGAATGCTGAGTGGATAAGGCAAGAAGAAAGCAAATACCAAAGTATTGAAGAACAACAGTACGTCAAGTTAACGACACCAGAAATAACCACAATAATAAAAGGCACAGATAATTGGAAAGCACCGGGACCAGATAGGTTGCAAAACTTTTGGATCAAAAAATTCTCAGCCCTTCACAGCGCAATGACAGCTGCCATCAATCACATTATTGAACATCCAGAAGATGCACCCTCATGGCTCACATCCGGAACTACAGTGCTCTTATCCAAAGGAAAGAATACGAAAGACCCCAAAAATTATCGCCCTATAACGTGCCTGAGTACAATGTACAAGATAATTACAGCAGCATTAGCTAACAGGATTAACGAACATCTACTTAACCACAACATTTACCCTGACGAGCAAAAAGGAAGCAGGAAAGGAACAAGAGGGTGTAAAGATCATCTTTTAGTCAGCAAAATGGTAGTCAGTGTGGCAAAAACACGAAGGAAAAACTTATGCATGGCCTGGATCGACTACCGTAAAGCGTTTGATAGTCTACCGCATGAATGGATTATGAAAGTACTGCAACTATATCGAGTTTGTCCAACTATACAAAGGTACATAGAATGCTCAATGAAAACATGGAAAACCGAAATGCATCTATATCAGACTAAGGGATGCATAAAAACCGGACATATAGGCGTTCAGCGAGGCATATTTCAAGGCGATTCTCTCTCCCCCCTACTGTTTTGCATGTCACTAATTCCACTGACCAGTATGCTTAACAGAGAAAAAACTGATTTTGTTATAGACGCAAACAATACAGTTAATCATCTGTTATACATGGATGATCTGAAATTATTTGCCAAAAATGAGAACGATTTGCGTCGCGCTTTAATGACAGTAAAAACATTCTCGGATGATATAAATATGCAATTTGGACTGGATAAGTGTGCAACAGCAATATTCAAAAGGGGAAAACTCACTAAGGCACAGAATATAATTCTAGATAAAGCAACAACAATAATGAACATGGAGCCTGAAGAAACCTATAAATATCTAGGCATTGAAGAAGCAGATGGAATCGAAGATGAACATGCCAAATCCAGAATATCGAGGGAGTATTACCGTCGTGTGCGCCTGATTCTTAAGACAGAGTTATGCTCCAAAAATAAAATATCTGCAATCAACTCTTTCGCTGTGCCTGTACTAAGTTACAGCTTTGGAATTGTCAATTGGCTGAAGTCAGATATACTGAGAATTGACCGGAAAACCAGGAAGCTGCTGACAATGGCACATATACACCATCCCAAGGCTGACGTGGACAGGTTATATGTAAAGAGGCGCAATGGAGGACGCGGAATGGTAGAAATTGAAGCTCTATATGAAACATCTATGGTTGGTCTCGGAGAATATATAACCCAAGGGAAGGACAAGCTATCAAAAATAGTGAAAAAATGGGACAATGGCCTTTGCAAATACTCCATCCAGAAAGAGATGAAGAAGATTACGTCGGAACGTCTAGGAGGCGAAGACTCCAACAGAAACTCAATCGACAAGATCAAGAACGTCGCTGAAAGTGGCAGACTAGCAAAAGTAGCCTCGAAACCATTGCACGGACAGTTCTTCCGACAACTCGAGAGAACAGAGGTAGATAAACGTGGAAGTGTCAGTTGGTTGAGAAGCTCTACGCTGAAAGCGGAAACAGAAGCTCTGATAGTATCTGCACAAGATCAAGCATTAAATACAAGGTACCACCAAAAGTATATACTAAAACAAAGTATAGACAGTAAATGCAGAATATGTGGGCAGTCCGACGAACACATGAGCCATATAGTAGCAGGTTGCCAAGTACTAGCCCCTTCAGAGTATACCGCTAGACATAACAATGTAGCTAGTTACGTTCACTGGAAAATATGTGACTCGTTTGGTATTCCAGTTACAGATAAATATTATCAACATGAAATCCAGAGTGTCACCAACATCAAGAATGACACCACTGATGTATGTATTATGTGGGATGTGCCGGTAATAACGGATCGAACAATAAAAGCAAACCGACCTGACATTATAATTCATAACAGAAAGGAGAAAACATGTCAACTAATTGATATAGCGGTTCCCGACGATTCCAATGTAAAATCGAAAGAAAATGAAAAGATATCTAAGTACAGAGATCTCCAGATAGAAATACAGAGAATGTGGCATGTGAAAGCTTGGATAACTCCTGTCGTTGTTGGTGCATTAGGAACTATCACCAAAACCTTTCCACGGAAATTGTGACTCAATACCCGGTAAACCAGCACTCTACCAAATTCCAAAAAACGGCACTACTAGGAACAAGCGCATATACTAAGGAAGGTGCTTGGATAGTCATCTTGATATCTGGTTGATATCTGGTCTATCCTTTATTACCAGACAGATACGTCAGAAGAAAAGATAAAAAAGAATAAGAAGAAGAAAAAGAATAATAAGAAGAAGAAGAAGAAGAGAAAGAAAGAATAAGAATAATAAAAAAATAATAATAAGAAAATAATAATAATAATAATAAAATAATAATAGTAAGAAATAGAAGAATAAGAAGAATAATAATAATAAGAAGAAGAATAGATAATAAGAAAAGAAAAAAGAATAATAAGAATAAGAATAATAAAATAAGAATAATAAAATAATAATAATAAAAAAGAATAAATAAGAAAAAATAAAATAAATATAATAATATAATAATATAATAATATATAATAATAATAATAATAATAATAATAATAAATATAATAATAATAATAATAATAATAATAATAATAATAATAATATAATAATATAATAATAATAATAATATAAAAAATAATAAATAATAATAATATAATATAATAATAATAATAATAATAATAATAATAATAATAATAATAATAATAATAATAATAATAATAATAATAAATAATAATAATAATAATAATAATATAATAATAATATACTAATAATAAAATAATATAATAATAATAATAATAATAATAATAATAATAATAATAATAATCATAATAAAATAAATATAATAATAATAATAATAATAATAATAATAATAATAATAATACTAATAATATAATAATAATATAATAATATATAATCATAATAATAATAATAATAATAATATAATACTAATAATAATATAATAATAATAATAATAATAATAATAATAAAATAATATAATAATAATAATAATAATAATAATAAAATAAT